GTATAAGAACACATGGTCCCCAATCAGAAGGTTGGAGGGTTTCTTCTGCTCAGTGAATGGTGGAGGGCCTGCCTTCAATTATCAACATGCCATAGAATCAGAATTATAGAATGTGAGAGCTGAAGTGTTCTTACAGGTCACATGTGCCAGTCCCATGGATTAGAAACCTAGGTCTTGAATAGCTAAATGATTTTTCCAAGACTCACAGTTAGTTAGTGGTAGACTTGGGCCAGTCCCCAAATCTTTTGACATTTTAGCCTGCGAGCATTCCATTACATTCAGTCTCTCTAAGTCACACCTACTCATGTCAGCCAGTTTTTTAGCTAAGTTTTGGGGCCACTGACAAATGTGGGCTTCATTCTAAAGCCTTTAAACTGTTACCAACCATTTATACATCTTACCCAAATTCCGTGGAACTCCAGACAAACCTGACATGTTTGTGGTTAAACTGGAAGACTAACTAGTATATTTTGGTATTCATACATTAAGTAAGGCCTGAGTTGGAAAAGTAATTATACTCTGTCTTTGGTATCATTGTTCAGAACTGTAGACATTATTTAATCTTTCTTTGTCATTTGTAAGAGCTTTTGGGAAGGTGGATGAAGTGTTAACACTGACACATAAACTATTGGTATTTTTATACAGTTTACAGCCTTTACTTTTCTGTCTGCAGGTGTTGGTAGTGTGTGCAGTGATGGTGCACACTTGGTTGTGAAGTTTGAGAGTGGGATTTGCACATTAACAGTAGAACAAATCTTTAAAAATTCGTTCCCGAAATCATAGGCCGAAGGAAACACATTTTGAAACAAGTAAATAGAGCACAAAAGTTTCAGAAGAACTGACTTATTCTACATCATCTGATGCAGAAATCTTGATAAGACTTTTAGCAACTGAATAGTATCATTTAATGGTTGCAAAACAGCGTGTAGCAGTTACAGGTACATAGCAGGTGTTTGGGAATTATTCTAGAATGAATGGAGTCAGTAATCATTTTACAGTTATTAGGTATATATAGTAAACAAATATGTTGCAGAATAAATTGAAAGCACAATTAGCTATATTGCTTTGGGAGTAAAATATTAAAGGTAATTGGATTTTTTCCACCAACTTACTTTGTTTCAACCATCATTTTAAAAACGTTTAAAAAATACATTAATAGATTTCAGTTTCAAATATGTTTTGGAGCAAGAGGGGTTATATAGGCATTATACATAGTACAAAGTGTAATGCCTATATAATAAACTATTTTAAAAACTGTTAGGGATATTCTCTTCTGGGTTATGACTCTTCACATGTAATTGTAATATGTGCAATATTATAATGCAGACTTGATATTGTTATAGAAGGTGTAGGTATTGGGCTATTCCTGAATGATAATGTGCAAGTCTTGAAAGTCATCTTAAAAATGAGAATTTTGGTGGCAACTTTGTTTTTGAATATTACCTGTCTTTTAAAAAGCTTTATTGTTGAGCAGAGTCTCTAGAAGTAGGTAATGTCTAGTTAGATTTTATCATAATTCACCTGTTGCTTTCTGAATTAGTTTTCAAAGTTTGTTTGTTGAGGCCATGTGCCATGGATGTGGTGACATGGAACAAGTTCATGTACATATCTCAGGAAATAATATCTTATTAAAGATTATAATTGGGGCACCTGGGTGGCTTAGTCGGTTAAGCGTCTGACTTTCGCTTAGGTCATGATCTCGCGGTTCGTGGGTTCGAGCCCCGCGTCGGGCTCTGTGCTGACTGCCAGCTCCGAGCCTGGAGCCTGTTTCAGTCTGTGACTCCCTCTCTCTCTGACCCTCCCCTGCTCACGCTGTCTCCTCTCTCCTGTAGAAATAAATAAAACATTAAAAAAAAAAGATTATAATTAAATATGATTATATAAAGTTAAATAAGTATTGTAAAGATTATAATATACTACACAGTCACATTTAACCAGTTTAGCATTTATTGACATAAAATTAGAATGCATAAATAATTAAAACTTATGACAATTTTTGAAGTTGAGAGTAAACCTGTTATTTGATTCTTAACATGTGGTAGTAATACTATTTAATTTCTTTCCCAATGCTTAAGGTCATTGTTAGTATCATTTAGTTTAATAAATTCTTCAATTTATTCCCAGTGGAGATGATGCATTCCCAGTAGAGAAGTTATTTGTATTCATATGTAGTCTTTAATCCTTTATTTTTTCTTAAGTAGCTACAGCCAGTATTTTTTTTTAAACCGACCTTCAGGATTCTAGATCTACTTCTTGTTACCATCCAAGGCTACCTCCAGCCAAAGCAGGGGCTCTCTAAAGCAGTGATTTTAATGTGGATGGTTAAAGAACTGTTTGTTATTGGTGGGGGGTAGGAACTTTTACTAGAATATAAGTGCATGTATTTTTACTTCACCAAGAAAAGCTTGCTTGGTGAAACAGTTGATTTAAATTCTGGCATAGGTTCTTACTGCATAGCAGGCCTATTACAAATGGTTTGAGGACTAGCGCTGGCCAGCCGACTACACTTTGAGGAGTGCTGAGTGCAGGCCTGTTCTCTGATCTCTGATGTTGAGCCCATGGTTCTGAGCACCATAGCTCATGGATTTCAGCCACCAAGATGTGGCTGTCTTCTTACTTCTTTATGTTCACCTTGTCTTCTAGACCTATGTTCCTACTGGATAGTGATGTCTTAATATCACTGTGTTCTGCCCTAGTCTTTAGTTTCTAGCTCTGTGGCTCATGTATACTATAGGGAACTATGGGTTCCTAGTTTATTGGGTCTGGAGATTATCTTTATTTAGTAAATTCTTATTCTCTATATCTGTCAGTATGGCTACCATAAAAAACACAAGAAATAACAAGTATTGGTGGTGTAGAGAAAAAGGAACCCTTGTACACTGTTGGTGGGAATGCAAATTGGTATAGCCATTGTGGAAAACAGTATAGAGATCCCTCAAAAAATTAAAAATAGAGTTACTATATGATCCAATAATTCCACTACTGGATATTTACTTAAAGAAAATGAAAACCACACTAAGATATAAGATACATGCACCCTTATGTTCATTGCAACATTGTTTATTGCAAAGATAGCCAAGATATGGAAGCTACCCAGTGTCCATCCATAGATGAATGGATAGAGATGTGATACACACACACACACACACACACACACACACGCACACACCAGTGGAATATTACTCAGTCATAAAAAATAAGCTCTTTCCTTTGGTGACAACATGGATGGCTCTAGAGGGTGTAACCCTAAGTGAAAGAAATCAGTCAGACTGAGAAAGACAAATACCAAATGATTTCATTCATATGTGGAATTTAAGAGACAAGACAAATGAACAAAGAAAAAAGAGACAGACAAAAAAACGTGAAGAACAAATGGTGGTTACCAGACAGGAAGTGGGTGGGTGGATGGGTGAAATAAGGAAGGGGATTAAGAGTATACTTATCATGATGAGCTGAGTAATGCATAGAATTGTTGCATCACATATTGTACACCTAGGAAAATTCTTGTCTTCAACATTCTGTCTTATTAACATGATACCATTGACCACTGACCATAGATGCTAGTGTTTTAGGAAAAAAAGGATATGTGATCCTTAAAAAACTTCCCATAAAATTTGACCTAAAAGGTCTATTTTAGTTTTTGAAAGTTGTATTTTAAAAACATGGTTTAATGTTGATTTCTTGTCAAGATCATGTATTAACCTAAGTTTATACTTACTGTGGCTCCAACTATATAGAAAATTTAAGAAAACAGCATAATAGCGGAGAAAGATGTCTATCTTTGTGGAATGCAATAGAACACATGTGAAATGCAATAGAAACCCCAAACTTAGCAGACTTGAAGCTGGAAGTTTGACTGATGTGAGGTCAAATTGATCTGTGTGAGGCCAGGGACTGGAACCAGATTCATGGTGTGCAACTGGCGTTTCCATGGCCATGGAGGAAAGTCAGAAAAAGCTGAAACAAACTGAAAAATACTGCCTGGAGTTATGAGTTATATAAAGTTTCATACTTAGAACAGTAGAAGAGTTCTACTTCTAGCTATATGGCAGACCAGGTATTTAGAGAAGCTCCTCGTAGGAAGGTCAACCTAAATATGGTATAGGATGTATTTTTTTAAAGTAATTTTTTAAAGCATGGCTGAGCTGGCAGAAAAGGGAATTCCTGGGATGACAGAAATGCAAGACAATGAGGGGAAAGTGACCGCCAGAGCCAACATTTGTCTCTGAGATATGTATTGATCTTCAATGGCTGAAAGCCTGGATTTCAATAGACCTTGTGTAAGGGTCTGAGGAGATGGGGCCCGAGGCTGAGGAGGTCAAATCAGAAGTCCCACACAGAGCTGGGTCACTAAGTTGTTAAAACCTCAGTGGGTGAACAAGAAAAAGCCTACCGTGGAGAGGGGAAGATAGGTGTAAGCGGTCTTTGCTTTGGTTGCAGGTGAAATGGGAAAGCAGCCTCCCATGAGATTCTCGAACGCCTGAATGGAGGTAGGGTTTGAGTTTGAGTTCACACTACTTGTAGGGCCAGAAAAACCTCCAGCTGAATGTTTAGTTGAAAGTGGTCTTAGGTTGGCAGTGCTCCTGGTTTCTGGTTGAAGGAAAAGGAAGTCTCTCTAGAAGGACACAGTGTAAATCTAGATCGTAAAGAGGTCCTACAAATAAAGTTTAAAGACCACGAACTCGCAATAAAGAACACCCCTCTCCCCACATGCATAAGGACAGAAGGCACCACAGCAAGAGTTAATAGAAAAAACACATTATAGAATCAGCTCCACATAGACTGCAGTTTGGAACAGACTGTTTCGGAATGTAAAACAAGTCTGCTTAACATATTTAAAGAAATAAAAGGGGCTTTTGAAAGTATGGCAAAGGAACACTTGAAATGGAACCAATGAAATGAAAATATAATGAAAGTGGAAATTCTTGGCCTTAGAACTTCCCTGATTTCTATACAGGATTCTGGCATTTATACTTATTTTCCTTCTCGTTTTTCTGTAGCTTTTCTAAAGCTTTCCGTCAACCCTATAATGAGAACATCATCGATATTTTCAAATCAACGAGGGGAAAATTGTTACATGGCTTTTCTAGAACAACTGATCTGCTTTTGAATCATAGGGCAGAAGAAAGAAGAGATGTAGTGCAATCACGCACAACCAACATTTGCAAGACTGTGTCTCTGTTATTTTTCTCTGAGTAAGACAGATTTCTTTTGCCCCCAGGTAATCTGCCTTTCCTACGGCTTCTCTTAACCGTAGCTTTTTAAACTGCTAGCTCTTACTATTTGAAATGTGTACATTGAACAGTTTCTTAACTGGAACTCGTCCCAGATTTAATAAAGAAGTCTATTCCCTGAAACATTAAATGTTTTAAAATAGACTTTATGCTTTTAGAATGGTACTAGGGTTACAGAAAAAAATATGTAGAGAGTAGAGTTCCTAAACACCCATCCTCAGTTACCCCAGCTGTTCATATATTGCATTAGTGTGATATGTTGGGAACAAGTGATGAACCAATATTGATACCATTAACTGATGCCCATATTTTATATTAAAGTTCACTTTTAGTGTTGTTTTGTTCTGTAGATTTTAACAAAAACATGATGGCACATTTCTACTATTATGGCATCCTACAGAATAATTTCAGTCCCTAAAAATCCAGAGTTCTACCTATTCATTCTACCTCCTAGCCCTCTGAACCCCTAGCAACCACTGATCTTTTCTCTTTGGTTTTGCTCTTTCCAGAATGTGTTAAAACCTTGGTTTGCGACCATAATTTGTTCTGGAAACATGCCTGTAATCCAAAACACTTGTATATCAAAATGAATTTCAGGAACCATTGGCTCAGCTGTGATCATGTGACATTGGGCATCACGTACTACTTGTATTGCAAGACATCGCTCGTTTATCAAGTTAGAATTTATTAGAAATGCTTGCTCGTCTTGTAGAACACTCGCAGAACAAGTTACTCGCAATCCAAGGTTTTTGGAATTATATGCTATGTAGCTGATATAAAATTAATGGAGTATTTTTGAGCAGTTTTACATTTATGGAAAAAAATGACACAGGAAATACAGAGGATCTCCATATACCCTCTCATCATTGCTCCCCAATCCCACTTCTCTATCATTAACATTTTGCATGGCACCTTGGTTATAACTGATGAACCAATATTAATATATTATTATTAACCGAAGTCCATAGTTTACATTTGGGTTCACTCTTTATATTGTACATTGTATAGCTTTTGACAAATGTCTGACAAGTACCCATCATTACGATAGTGTACAGAATATTTCATTTCTCTAAAAGTCCCCTGTGCTCTACCCTATTCATTCCTTTCTTCCTTTACATAAATTGCTGGCAATCACTGATTTTTTTTATACTATCTTCATAGTTTTCCAGAATGTTATATTTTTACTGTCTTCATATTTTCAGAATGTCATGTAATTGAAATCATATGGCATGCAGAATTTTCAGATTGGCTTCTTTCACTTAGCAGTATCTATTTAGGATCTATTCATGTCTTTTTGTGGCTTACTAAGCTATTTATATTGCTGAAAAATAGTATGGGTTATACGGATGTACCATATTCATCTACTAAAGTGCATCTTAGTTGCCTACAAGTTTTAGCAGTTATGAATAAAGCTGCTATAAACATTTGGGTGTAGGTTTTTATGTGGACATAAGTTTTCAGCTTAACCAGGAGTGTGTTTGTTAAATTCTATGATAACCTCTGTTTAACTTTGTAAGAAATTGCCAAACTTTCTTCCGAAGTGACTGTACTACTGCATTCCCACCAGAAATAAATGACAGTTCTTTGCTCTGCATCCTTGTCAGCATTTGGTATTGTCATTGTTTTTGATTTAAGCCATTCTGATAGGTATGTAGGGGTGACTCATTTTACTTTGCAATTGCCTAATGACCTATGAAGTTGAACATAATGCTATTATTTACCATATGTATATTTCCTTTCCTTTCCTTTCCTTTCCTTTCCTTTCCTTTCCTTTCCTTTCCTTTCCTTTCCTTTCCTTTCCTTTCCTTTCCTTTCCTTTCCTCCCTCCTTTCCTCCCTCCCTCCTTCCTTCCTTCCTTCCTTCCTTCCTTCCTTCCTTCCTTCCTTCCTTCCTTCCTTTCTCTTTTTAATGTTTATTTATTTTTGAGAGAGAGAGAGAGAGAGAATGAGCAGGGGAGGGTCAGAGAAAGAGGGAGGCACAGAATCTGAAGCAGGCTCCAGGCTCTGAGCTGTCAGCACAGAGCCCGACATAGGGCTCGAACTCACAAACTGTTGAGATCATGACCTGAGCGAAAGTCAGTTGCCTAACCAACTGAGCCACCCAGGTGCCCCATGTATAGTTTCTTTAATAAGGTGTCTGTTTAGATCTTTTGCCCATTTTGATATCGGATTGTTTTCTTATTGTTGAGTTCTAAGAGTTCTTTGTGTATTTTAGATACAAGTACCTTATGAGATGTGTGTTTTGCAAGTGTTTTTCTTCTGTGGCTTGTCTTTTCATTCTTTTGATCCCTGATCCATTTTTGCACTGTTTAAGTATTATATCTCTTTTGTTACAAATCAAAAATTTCTAGAATATAATTTTAAAATAATGTGAAATACCAGATGTTTACAACATATTAGTGTGAGCTGTAGTTAAGTGCACTTTTCATAGGTCAAAAATGATAGAGTATTGGCAATTTTGTATAGTCAATCTAATAGAAGCCAAAGCTTTCTCTCTGCAGTTTTCCACCCATCCATAGCAAACCATTATTATGTCTTTGAGATGATTCTAGGCAGAGATTAAGTGCATATTGGAATCAAAAGAAGATGTATATACTATGATCACACAGCTTCAATTTTCAAAGATAGCTTTGGTTTCAATTGCTCTGATCACAAATCACTGAACTATCCTAGTTATTCTAAAGTTTCTTGCTATTTAAAAAAAAAAAATTTAATGTTTATTTTTGAGAGAGAGACACACACAGAGTGTGAGCAGGGGAGGGTCAGAGAGAGAGGGAGACATAGAATCTGAAGCAGACTCCAGGCTCTGAGATGTTAGCACAGAGCCCGACGCAGGGCTTGAACCCATGAACCGTGAGATTAAGACCTGAGCCAAAGTTGGCAGCTTAGCCGACTGAGCCATCCAGGTGCCCCCTTGCTATTTTTTTTTTTTTAATGTTTATTTATTTTTGAGAGAGAGACAGAGTGTGAGCTGGTGAGGGGCAAAGAGAGATGGAGATACAGAATCCAAAGCAGGCTCCAGGGTCTGAGCTGTCAGCACAGAGCCCAGTGCAGGGCTTGAACTGATGAGCTGTGAGATCATGTCCTGAGCCGATGTTGGATACCCATCCAACTGAGTCACCCAGGTGCCCCTAAGACTTCTTGCTATTTAAAGCTACATTTTAAATGGGAACTCACCTGGAACTGGCACAGAATTCCTGTGTCCTAATTTTTCTTTCAGGAAATCTGTTCATTTTTCTGCAGAAGCTTAAGAAACTTTGCTTTACAGGATTCTGCTGCTTGAATTTAGTGGGGGCATCGATGGGTTGCATAGTAGAATAGTGAATGCCTGGTGTAGCTACTCATGGGCAATCATTCTTCCCTCCTCAAAGCTGTCCGCTCATATATATTTTAATAGTTTTCTCTGCACTTCCAAATGGAAAGCAATGGGCTAATTATTAGTTTGAGGGTCATAATTCATGATCAGATTTTAAAAATCATGGTGTTCTGGGTGCCTGTGTGGTTCAGTCCTTTGAACATCTGACTATTGATTTTGGCTTAGATCATGATCCCAGGTTTGTGGCATCAAACCCCATTTTAGGCTCTGTTCTGAGCTTGGAGCCTGCTTAGGATTCTCTCTCTATCTCTCTGCCTCCTCCCCTGCTCACACATGTGCATATGTATGCTGTCTCTGTGTCTTAAAGGAAGAAAGAAAAGAAGGAAGGAAGGAAGAAAAGAAGGAGGGAAGGAAGGAAGGGAGGAAGGAAGGAAAAGAAGGAAAGGAAGGAAGACAGACAAACCATTGTGGTCAATAATGTTGCAAGATTAAATTATTCTGTGAAATAGAAAAAAACAAATCCAGATTTAAAACAAACAAATTTCTATGTATTTAGTATGTATAAAGGTCAAATGTGAGACATAGAGTTAAGCTTTTGATCTAGTGGAGAGCATTGGACAAATATAAAACAGAATAAAACCAGTGACAGATGACAAGAAATGCAAGGAAAGTTCTACATTTGTTCAAATTAGAGAATGATTGTAGGAAGGGATCTGGAAAGGCTTTGTGGCAAATGTGAAATCGGAGTTGAAGCTTGGGGAATGAGGAGGGCTTCAGTCTGTGTAGTGTAGAGGGAGCGTTATAGAAAGGAGGGAGTTTGCAGAAAATGGCCAGATGTGGGAAAGCTAGGGCCATTTTAGGGAACAGTAAACAAAATCAGCATTTATGGACTCATCATATAAAGTTTTGGCTTTATGCTAATTATACAAAGATACATGACATTTCAGAAACTTGAATTCTGCTGAAGCAAGAATTTGAGCCAGGCTTTCTGCAGGGCTCTTGTTTGGGTGTGAGTCACTTAGCGTGCGCCTCTAGCTGCTGGCTGAGCGGCCATGGCCACCACAGCGCTGCTAATCTCAACCCGGCATCACAGGAACCTTAACACTTATGTGGTATTAAAAGCTGTTTCTATGTCTGGTATTAATTTTTAAAAATATTTATTTATTTTTGAGAGAGAGACAAAGCATGAGTGGGGGAGGGGCAGAGAGAAGTAGACACAGAATGCGAAGCAGGCTCCAGGCTCTGAGCTGTCAGCACAGAGCCTGACACTGGGCTTGAACCCATAGATCGTGAGACCATGACCTGAGCTGAAGTCGGACACTTAACCAACTGAACCACCCGGGCACTGCTTCTATGTTTATTATTATAAGAGCTCTTCTAGCAGCGGTGACAGAGAGTCACAAAGAGGGAAAAGATAGTCTTGTTCAGTGACAACAGTAACATCACTTCAGATAAATGTAAGAGTGGAATGCTGAATTTGATATTCAATCGGATTGGGACAGGAGTCTGGAATTTTACAAATGACGGGATAGAACTCTTTCTGTTATCAAGGGTCTGCTTTTATCCAGTCTGACTGAAAGGGAACAGGCAAATTGAATTGTAAAAGTGGAATGAGGTCATATTTATTAGCAAGCTCTTGAAGGCCAATAAGGTTTTCTGAGCAGTTGTTTGATATGATATGAACTGAGCTTTTAGAAAAGGTTTTGTTGGTGCGTTGGCTGAGCTTTTACTATCAACAAAAATAATGC